TCTGACCTGAGAAAAAAAACGAATGTCTTGGCTTTGAATCCCGGCTTTCTGACTTTCTTAAGTTGGATTTGAAATCCACACTAGGTTGTGGATCTCAGTGTAAATACAGGGCTTACTCTTCTTCCATTAACTTTCTCCAAAGAACAGGACTTTTCTTCATCCATGGATTTCATTTTTCTAGTTCTACTGTCTGTGACAGGTGAAACCCATCAAATTATCAGCATTTAATGGGCTTGAAGTAATGTCATATGGCTTCAAAAGATGGTAAAGTCCCAGCCCTGAGCAGGTAACTCACACCCAGAAGCTGCAACGCTGACAGTCTCAATAATCCGGCCTCCAGTTGGTCACAGACTCCACAGAATAGCAGTTGCCTTTCTTCTTCATTCTGCCATCTGGATGTTCTTTTCTTTTAGTACAAACAAAATTATTTCTTTATAAGTTATATTTAAAAGTTAATTTCTTTAACTCTGCTGTCAAATAGAACTTATTAACCCATCTCTCAACTATACTTTTTCAAGCAGCAGCAGCAGCGGCGGGGTGGCAGCTAGCCCAAACAGGAGCTTTCATGCTCCCTCACTGAGACAATAGATGTGGACACCCCAAATAAGGGTCTCCCTGCCTAGCGGACAAACAGTGGACAGCACTGAGCTGACAGATCTCCTACACTCTCGGTTGCCCCTGCAGGCCCAAATCAGAGAGTAGAGAAGAGAGGGAACCCCTGTGCTTTCTGAGCAGGCCTGCTAGCCAGTGAGTGTGCCTTTAAGTGAGTGCTTGTAGAGCCCCAAAATGATTCTGTACAAGAACAGATCATCTGATGGTATCTCCACCCGTGATCTCAAGCTGTACCACATAGCAATAGTAATAAAAACTGCACAGTACTGGCATAGAAACAGAATGGTGGATCAATGGAATCGAATAGAAGACCCAGAAATAAACCCACACGCCTATGGATAATTGATTTTTGACAAAGATGCCAAAACCATGCAATGAAAAAAAGACAGCATCTTCAACAAATGGTGCTGGTCTAACTGGATGTCTATATGTAGAAAAATGCAAATAGCTCCATACTTATCACCCTGCAGAAAACTAAAGTCCAAGTGCATCAAAGATCTCAATATAAAACCAGACACACTAAATCTGTTAGAAGAAAAAGTGGGGGAAGAGCCTTGAACTCTTTAGCACAAGAGACAATTTCCTGAACAGAACTTCAACAGCACAGGCTCTAAGATCAACAATCAATAAATGGGACCTCATGAAACTGAAAAGCTTCTGTAAAGCAAAGGACACTGTCATCAAAACAAAACAACAGCCTACAAACTAGGAAAGGATCTTCACCAACCCTACAGTGACAGAGGGCTTTATATATCCAGAATATATAAAGAACTCAAGAAGTGAAAAAAGCAACAAATCAAGTAATCCAATTAAAAAATGGGGTACAGAGCTAAACAGAGACTTCTCTATAGAGGAATATCAAATGACAGAGAAACACTTAAAGAAATGCTCAACATCTTTAGTCATCAGGGAGATGCAAGTCAAAACGACCTTAAGATTTCACCTTACACCCATCAGAATGGCTAAGATCAAAAACTCAAGTGGCAGCACATGCTGAAGAGGATGTGGAGAAAGGGGAACCCTACCTCATTGCTGGTGGGTATGTAAACTTGTACAACCACTTTAGAAATCAATCTGACACTTTCTCAGACAATTAGGAATAGTACTTCCTCAAGATCCAGCTATACCACTCCTGAGCATATATCCAAAAAATGCTCAAGGACATTTGTTCAACCATTTTCATAGCAGCTTTATTCCAGCCAGAACCTGAACACAACCCAGATGCCCCTCAACTGAGGAATGGATACAGAAATTATGGTACATTTACACAATGGAATATTAAAACAAGGAAATCATGAAATTTGCAGGCAAATGGTAGGAACTAGAAAAGACCATCCTGAGTAAGGTATCTCAGAAGCAGAAAGACACACAAGGTATATACTCACTTATAAGTGGATATTAGCATACAATATAGGATAAACGCACTAAAATCTGTACACCTAAAGAAACAAAGCAAGAAGGAAAATGAGGTACAGGGTAAGATGATCCATCCTCACTCAGAAAGGCAAATGAGACATCAGAAGAAGGAGAAAACAGGAAACAGGACAGGAGCCTACCACAGAGGGCCTCTGAAAGACTCTACCCAGCAGTGTATCAAAGCAGATGCTAAGACTCATAACCAAACTTTGGGCACAGTGCAGGGAATCTTATGAAAGAAGAGGGAGATAGAAAGACCTGGAGAAGACAGGAGCTTCACAAGGAGAGCAACAGAACCAAAAAATCTGGGCACAGGAGTCTTTTCTAAGACTGATACTCCAAACAAGGACCATGCATGGATATAACCTAGAACCCTGCACAGATGTAACCCATCGTATCTCAGTATCCAAGTGGGTTCCCTAGTAAGGGGAAAAGGTACTGTCTCTGACATGAACTAAGTGGCTGTCTCTTTGATCACCTCCCCCTGAGGGGGTGGGCCAGCCTTACCAGGCCACAGAGGAAGACAACCTATCAGGTCTCATCAGGACTATCTGCATTAAGGTCAGATGGAAGAGGAGGAAGACCTCCCCTATCAGTGGACTTGGAGAGGGGCATGGAGGAAATGAGGGAGGGAGGGTGTGGTTGGGAGGGAATGAGGGAGGAGGCTACAGCTGGGATACAATGTGAATAAACTGTAATTAATAAAAAATAAAATTTAAATTTTAAAAAAAATATGTAAACTTACTTTCAGATATATCCAACTTTATATCCAGACTCTATTAGCAAACAGTTGTGTGATTTCAGACAAATTAGTTACCCCCTCTAAGCTTCAGGTTAGTTAGTCTTCTTTGGAGTGGAGGTAATAATAGCCACCTCCATTGATTATTATGGTAGTTAATCGGTTATTAAAATATCTGTTGCAATCCATGGAACAGATCAAGTATTTGTTAAATGGTAACTTCTGTTCTCACATGTTAGGCAGGAAAACGGCAGCTGAAACCTAACACCAGTAAGTGGAGTACATTCAAGAAGGTCACTATGGTAGGCTGTTATTAGAGCTTTTAATAAAAACCTGTTACAAAGGAAAATGGGTTTCCCTAAACACAATGATGTGAATCATTGATTCAAATGACTAAGGAAAATCCATAAAATATCCATAGAGGCTGATCCTTCTACCAGATCATAAAGTAGTACAAAGGAACCCAGAGAAAATCTTTGCACAAGGAAAGACAAAGATAATGGACTTGATAAAACTCACAGCTATGTTTCCATGATATCTTTCATGTACAGTAAAGCTAATTTCCTCATAATGTCAACAAAATCATCACCATTAAAATCCGAGAGGAGCCATTTCAGAATAAATTACATTTAAAGAACATTTGAGTCAGGGTGTTTTTTATTATTTTTTTTTAACATTTATCGTGTGTGTGTGTGTGTGTGTGTATGTGTGTGTGTGTGTGTGTGTGTGAATGTGTGTGTGCACCCTTGTCAGATCATGTGTGAAGGTCAGTAGACAACTGTAGGAGTTGGGTTACCCTGGGACTGGAACGCTGGTCCTCAGGCTTAGCATATTTATCTGCTGAGCCATCTTGCTAGCTCTTGAGTCAGGTTTTAAAAGCTGATTGTCTTTCTCCCCTCATCCCCAATACTTTGAAAAAGTAGGAAGGTTGATGGAATAGGATGATTTTGGTTATTTACAAAGGAGTAGGATAGGCCTCTTTCAAAAGTGAAGGTAACAGAGCCCATCATTAAAAGCAGAGAAGGAATGGGTCCAGAGCAGAGCTCCCAGCTTCCTAATGTCGCCACCCAGGGCAATTGTACTACATTTGAGGTTAAAGCCAGGCTAACAAGGGTTAGAACAACAAGTTGTCCCCTGATTCTAACAAGAGTGCCAACAAGAAGTTGTCCTTTGATGACCGTCAGAGGGAACCTTCTGGGCTCGGCCCTCACCCAGAAGTTAGCTCTTTCAGTGGTCAGAAGTTTCCCTACTCCACAGATGGCATCAGGTAGTAATCCTACATAATCATAAAAGGAAACTTCCTACTTACATAGATAAAATCACGGTTTACAGAGCAGTAAGCACAGAGACAATTTGCTGATGAGTAAGGGGCCTCGGGGTGCAACCTCACCGAGTGACCTCAGTAAACCCTATGACTTCAGATGCAAAGAGAAGGAAGGGACAGGTCCACAGACCCTCCACAATCCTTTCATGGGTTCTACAGATGCCGTGACGACTCCTAAATAAATCCCAAAGATAAAAAAAATAAATAAATCTCAAGGATCTTTGAGGCATGTTTTCCCCATCAAAGTGGAAGTTGAGTTCAGGTTCTAAGGACAAGAAGGGCATTCCAGGTCAATAAGACAACAAGAGCCAGGCCTGGAAAGCCCTGATCCTTGGCAAGAGAGAGTGACTAAACCAGTGTGACAGGCAAGATATGCCCACATGGTCCTTCATTACATGGGAAACCACACACGGGCAGGAGATGCACCCTGAGAGTTCTCTGGGAAGCAGATGAGGATGGTCTATTTATGAGTCTGCTGCTGGCATGCCCGTGTGTACTAATGAGGAAAGTCACTGCTTGGGTGGCAATGGAGGGTGCCTTTGAAGGCCAAATGATGACACAGAGCCAAGGAGAGAGTGCTCAGATCATATCTGGCTTAGAAAACAAATTCTTTCCTCTTTGATGACTTAGAAATATTTCAAATCCATCGTAATTGAACCCATTGTTTAGATTCAGTAAGAATAAACCACAAAAGCAAATAAAGGAGTAATTTGTGATGATTTGTGATGTATATGCATGATATGTAGGGAGGTGGGGACAAAAATAGCATTAGTCAATGCTAACTCTTCTCTTAATTAGCCAGAGAATTTACAAGAATGATCACGTGCCTGGGGGTCATCAGCGCTGGCCAGGTATATAAAGGGACCCGACCCAGAGAA